GGGTCCAGAACACTGCAGCACGGCTAGTTACTCGTACTCGAAAGAGAGAGCACATCACACCTGTGCTCTATTCGTTGCACTGGTTACCTGTACGATACAGGTCGCAGTACAAAATTCTGGTGTACACATACAAGGCACTGAATGGAACAGCTCCTCAGTACATACAGGAGCTTGTTACCCTGTATCAGCCGTCACGATCACTGTGGTCGGAGTCAGAATCTTTGTTGTGTGTCCCAAAACCTCGTATCGTGACCTACGGAAACAGATGCTTTGGAAGGGTTTCGGCTACGTTGCAAAGATGTTATGTAAATACCACCCTTTTATTTGTTCAATTATGTGCACATTGCTTGCTAAAATGTATAAAAGTGAATGCAAGCCTTTGTTATTTTTTGGTTTTCACAATTATAACCATTACTATTATCCATATGTTGTAAAGCGCTTTAGAGTAATTTTACAAATTATATAGGGCGCTATATAAATGTTGTATATTATCATTATTATTATTATATAATACGTAAATATGCAAATAACGTTGCTATCGGTCAACAGTCATTGTTATATTAACTGAAAAAACGTAATTTTGCATTTGTATTACGTCATGGGAATTGACGAGTAGGCATTTTAACCAAAGATAAAGAGCTATAACATTCGATTCAAGAACGCGGTTACCATTAAATCGCTAGTGCAAACTCGAGAGTGCGAGGTTAAATTATTTTAAAGTTTCATAGTTACTTATAGCTGTTCCGCTGTCTCTACATCCTTAATAATTTTTGTTGCCTTTCAGCTGGCTTGCTATCCACGTCGTCGTCCACCATTGTAGACTACGAGAGTTTGACGAGTAAAAGTTTTACTGTGGATGTGACAGTGACTGATGGCACAGATACAGACACTTACTCCACGTTCACTGTTAACGTCATAGAAGTTAACGAAGCTCCAGTATTTGGGAGTACGATCTACTATGTCAGCGGAAATGAAGGAAATGTAAGAAAAAAATATATAAATCAATCGCAGTCAAATAAGCTGATCCATTTATCCCGCAGTCAAATGAACCGACTGGTTTATCCCGCAGTCAAATGAACCGACCTATATATACCGCAGTCAAATGAACCGACCCATATTCTGCAGTCAACTTACACTGTATTAATGATATATTACACTGTATTTATGAGAACTTAAACTGTATTGATGAGAACTTACACTGTATTAATGAGAACTTACACTGTATTAATGAGATCTTTAACTGTATTAATGAGAACTTTTACTGTATTAATGAGAACTTACAATGTGCTAATGACAAATTACACTGTATTAATGAGAACTTAACACTGTATTGATGAGAACTTACACCGTATTAATGAAAACTTACACTGTACTAATGAAAACTTACACTGTATTAATGAGAACTTACACTGTATTAATGAGAATAAACTATTATCAACATGAATTTACAATTATCAGTGAGAGCTTACAATGTATCATAACAGATAATGTATCAAATTTGTACGTGTTTGTAACAGGCTGGGGAGAGCTTTAGTAGCCCAGGATTTGTGGTGACTGATCCGGATGTCAGCGCCAGTCAATCCTACACTGTCGACTGTCCCGCCATTGCAATGGATTCCACTACAGGCGCGGTGACCTTGAGTGGAACGTACGACCTTGACGTTGTCGGTACGGCGTCAGTTTTGACCTGTATTGCCACTGTATCGGACGGCGAGCTGACTGATACGACACAACTCATAGTCACAATTAATGACGTCAACGACCATATTCCGTCGTTCGCCCATGCATCATATACATTATACACGACCATTTACGGTAACGTTGGCGATACGATTGGGAGTATAGCGGCTACGGACGGGGACCTGGGTATTAATGGTAAGTCTTTGCTTTAAGGACAGTAATTACTCCTAAATATTTAAGAAATAAATGTGTCAAACTGGTCTATGAAGACTATTCGGAAGATATTTATTTTGTCTGGGAATTGATCAAGTCGCAACGCATTTGTGGACGGTTGTCTTAAAAGGCACCACTTGGAATCATGCAGTGAGTGGGGGTGGGGGATCTTCCCAATATCATCTAAGCGCAATGGATTAATAGAGATTGGAGACAACAATAATAAATTTAATGAACATGCTATATAGGCAGGTCTCTATTACTGTCAATCTGGTGAGGAGACCATACCGCTACATAGACTTCAACAGGGTGATCTTGGTATACGTCATGAAGATTAGCATATTTTGGGTAAACAGGACAAATAGTATATGTTAATACATGCAAGTTTATTAGTCACAAGGCATTCCTCAAATTTATATATTTGAATCTCTATCCAGAGACCACATTATGAAGTACATACAATGGTCTCTTACTGGAGGCGGACATATTATACAGACTCATTTAGCCTGGAATATAATTGTAACGGAGTTTTAGAAGTGGTATCTTAACACAGTTCCTCTCATAACAGAAGTGGTCTCCAGATCTTTACTGGTGTTAACTGTTATTGTGAATGTCACTGACGAGCTGTCATTTTTGTTTTAGGGGCGATTAGCTATACGCTGGACCAAACCTCCCTCAACGAATCGTACTTCGGGGTAACCGGGACAGGGAACCTATACATTAACAGATTTCTTACGTCATTTGGAGATGGGACATATTTTTCATTTTCTGCCAATGTGACCGACTACGGTGGCCTGACAGGTAATATCCGGGTGATGTAATATGTAAGTTATTTACAGCTATATCGACCAATAAACAATCCTTCAGAAAAAAACATGCATGTGATATTTATTATACAACTCACATCACGTGAATTCAATTTACAAAAAATAAAACATTTATTTCGGAATTAACGGAGGATGTTTTTACACATTTGATAATTTGAATTGGGGATATCTCTCTAAGTCATTTAAACAATAATGTTTGCATTATCAAAAAAAACAGAATGCTTTTTATCTAAGGTTACGTGTATGATTAACCACTCTAAAATACAAAATTCATAATAGACATCTAAATTAGATTCATATAACAGTGTGGTATCAGAAATCAGTAAAACAAATTAATATTATGATTATAGACCTTTTCTTAAGGACGATACTCTGATTAACAGAGTCAGGGTTAATTATTAAAACACTATTGTACACATACTTATCACAGCACTTTTGGAGTGCTCCTTTATGATTACCGTTAGCTATATGATAGTTATATTTCTGTGTGTAGGTAATTTTAGTGCTAAATCATAACTTTGTTGTCGTACGTGGAAATATACACGTGCCAATATTCCGTCTTTGCGTATTGAAGAGTTAGCTTCTCTTGTGAGCAGGCATTGATTGTGACGTCATTGGTTTGTGTGAGAAAATTACGTAGTTTTCTCAAAAATTGATGACGTTACTCTCACAAACAAGTGACGTAACAATCAATACCTGCTCACAAGGGCAGATAACTCTGCAATACGAAAAGACGGAATAAGTACGTCTAAAGCATATTCTTTGCCGTCCACAGATACCGCCGATATAAATGTCGTTGTATATGCAACCACCACCGTACCAACCACGTCCACGACGGAGAGGTACGCCACTTTCTTCGAGTATCCTCCTAACATTGCCTGGTTTACCGTGTTCTGTATGACCGCGGTCACCGCCACAGCTGCGTTTTCTTACCTGGCTTATGCGCACGGATTTCTCAGACAGCTAACATGTGAAGATCTAAAGTCTGTGTTTAGAGTCAAGAAAAAGCGGTAAGGTTATCATGTGTGAATGAGGTGTCTACATTATAGTGTTTTCGTCCCTTGTATATCAGACCATAGACGATCAGAAACAACATACACGATTCTCCCTTTCCCAGTAATATCAACTACAAGGAAGACAGACACTTGTGTTTTTATCTATTCTTTTAAAGTTTAACAATGTAGTTCGCGATATATTGAATTGGGCTCTGCTCAGAAACCAGTCAATAGGTATTAATAATGTCCAACAGAGAAAATCGGCACATCACCAATATATTAGGACTAGATCAGACTACTTTGTGCCTTATTCAAGCTCTGTGTTGGGGGGTGAAGATATTATCAACTTAGAGGAATGTGTAAAAGCCATTGGAAAAACTGGAAGTTGCATTGAATTGCCGAAACTGATCACTTTGTATATGGAATTTTAATGTGCAAGCTTTTGTCAATTAAGTATTAATTTGAATATATTTTTCATGTTATGGAGATGTATATCTCCATAACATGAAAACTATATTCAAGTCAATCCTTATAATTTAATCTAATATACACATTCCCTGTGGGAATCCCCTTTTATTGGTGGACTCTTTTCTCTTACAAATTATTATGCCGCTGTATAAGCCAATCAAAAGCACGCTACAAACGGCGATGTCATTTTTTACGTTATGGGCTGATAACATAAATTTTAAGCCAATGAAAATACTTGTTACAAGCAAGATTACATTATTGATAGATATACATCTCGGATACATCCTGTATCACTATTATCGCACCTAACAGCGAGTTCATCTCATTGATAATCAGTCTCATCATATAAAGTGTATGTATATATGATATATGGAGATGTAATTGCTTTGTGTATTTATGTATGATATATTGAGATATAATTGCTTTGTGTTTCTATGTATGATATATGGAGATATAATTGCTTTGTGTTTCTATGTAGGATATATGGAGATATACTTGCTTTGTGTATTACTTGCTTTGTGTATATATGTAGGATATATGAAGATATAATTAATATGAAGGATATATGGAGATATAATTGCTTTGTGTCTCTATGTGGGATATATGGAGATATACTTGCTTTGTGTATTTATGTAGGATATATGGTGATATAATAGCTTTGTGTATTTATGTATGATATATGGAGATATAATTGCTTTGTGTTTCTATGTATGATATATGGAGATATAATTGCTTTGTGTTTATATGTATGATATACGGAGATATAATTGCTTTGTGTCTCTATGTAGGATATATGGAGATATACTTGCTTTGTGTATTTATGTAGGATATATGGTGATATAATAGCTTTGTGTATTTATGTATGATATATGGAGATATAATTGCTTTGTGTTTCTATGTATGATATACGGAGATATAATTGCTTTGTGTCTCTATGTAGGATATATGGAGATATACTTGCTTTGTGTATATATGTAGGATATATGGAGATATAATTAATATGAAGGATATATGGAGATATAATTGCTTTGTGTCTCTATGTGGGATATATGGAGATATACTTGCTTTGTGTATTTATGTAGGATATATGGTGATATAATAGCTTTGTGTATTTATGTATGATATATGGAGATATAATTGCTTTGTGTATATATGTATGCTATATATATAGATATAATTGTTTTGTGTATTTTTGTAGGATATTTGGAGATATAATTGCTTTGTGTATTTATGAATGATATATGGAGATATAATTGCTTTGTGTATTTATGAATGATATATGGAGATATAATTGCTTTGTGTGTATATGTAGGATGTATGGGAATATGCTTGCTTTGTTTATTTCGGTAGGATATATGTAGATATACTTGATTTGTGTATATATGTAGGATATATGGAAATATACTTGCTTTTTGTATTTATGTACGGGATATGGAGATATAATTGCGTTGTGTATTTATGTACGATATATGGAGATATAATTGTTTTGTGTATTTATGTAGGATATATGGAGATAAACTTGCTTTGCGTATTTATGTAGGATATATTGAAATATAATTGCTTTGTGTGTTTATGCAGGATATATGGAGATATAATTGTTTTGTGTATTTATGTAGGATAATTGTTTTTTATCTTTTAGAAAAGTCATCAAAAGAAGACATCGGAAGAAAATCCGCGATTTAGGTAAATATCCGCATTTCAACTACCGACGTCACTGACAGCTACGTCTGACGCTGGTTAAAAAGACAATATTTTGGTAACCATTAAGCTGTTGTAAGGATTCTTGATGTCTGAAATAAACTATGATAATTATGTTTACGTCATTACCAAATAACAATTAGACTATAAACTAGTGTATAGTAGACAGTTCTTTGAAACATATCGAGATGATATGTTTTTCCTTATTATTGAAACCTAATGAAAGTACCAATGAACGGAGTCGGGAATAGTGAGATATACATTAGTGTAGATAAAGGTTAAATGCTTCGATAGTGCGAAATCCAACGGAGTTTTTTTCATTTATTCATCAACTTTTACTGATATGTGTGTGACTGATGACTGTGTGTATAATGAAATTAGGTCGTCAGTTAATCACGAAAACACGACCTTAATCATATTATCATGATGTAAATTTGAAAGTGGTTCTTTCCCTTTTGGAAAGAAGATAGAATTGTCAGTGACGTAACATGTATCCTGAAACATGACCACTTCCTGAACGAGGCCATCCTCGATATCCAGGGGTTACAACCACTTTCGCTCTCTACACTCCTGGATATCGAGGATGAAACGAGGCTGGCCGTATACCAAAAACAATCGCCTTTTATTGGCAAATAGCTCATCTAAACAACAATGGTTTCTATCCTTTTTATCTTCAATATTGAATGTAATATTGTACACAAAAAATGTACGTGAGTTGGAGAATAGTCATAAACATAGGCAGTCTAGCTACCACATCTAGTTACCTTGCATCTCATTCAGTATTTCATAAAGGAATTCTTGTATCGAAATGCGGAATTGTATTTTGACACGTAAACGTTCTGCAGAATTAATCTTTACATATCAGTTACGAGTAGAAATACTGACATTTGGTTGAAGAAACATTAGAATGTAAACGTAATCGATGGATTGATATTCTTAACTTCTTATTCCTATTCTTGAAATGATTTAAGCATTATCAAAAGGGATAATCTGGAAGCTCTTACACAAATTCCATTAAATAAACACATTAAATAGACATCTATGTGACGACTTAGACAATTTGCTTTTTATCAATTCAATCAAAGATTAAAAAGATGAAAACGTGATGATATTGTTTTCAGGGCATGGACAGAGGGAGCTGAACAGGGGTGTGACGTTCGCCTCGACAGACATTACAAAACACATTAACACTAAAATCTAAAGATCGAGCGCTGTCACGAGGGACAACCGTATTACTTACTCTGACGATAGATTGCCACTTTGAGTTTTTTTTGGAAGATGCATCAGCAGTATTTTGGCAGCTGAGTGTCAACCTGAGGGCCATTTAGAGACACCATCACTTAGCTATGACGACCATGTGCAGCCCTGAGGGATATTGAGAGAAATCACCAACACGAGTCTCACCGAGCGCCGCCCCAACAAGCATTGAAAACACATCAATACGGAACATTGACTGCAATATGCCGCTTATAGGACCCTTTGAAACCTTTTCAAAAGTCATCATATTTAGGCCATAGGAAATTTAAGTATAAACTATTTAATGTGTTATGCTATATAGAAATCATCTACAGTCATTCGTTGGTACACTTACGCATCATTTCGAATTCACGTTTTAGAAATAATTTAGCGTTTTCGAGAAGTGAACGGAATTTCTTCAACATCGATCTCAAACGTTACGCGCCTTCAACTATCATATACACGGTTACCTCTCGTGTACTATTTGCACCGGAGGATAACCAATGGAAGCTCAAATGAACCTGTTTGTATAATATATATCCAGATACCCACTTTGATAGATTGCCTGCGGTGATGCGTTGCAATGACTCACATAGGAGGACGGTCGATAATACGACGAGGTAGAACTGTTTTCGTTTCTTATTTGTATACCTCTGGTCCACATGTGCAAACTACAACGAATATCAACACAAAACCTGTATTTCACACATACGTTGAAAGAAAATAGCTAGTTTAAAAAGGTAAACCCTAAGAAAAAGTCAACGGGATACACGCATATATTTAGGGTGCACAATAGCTTTTTGCATGTTATACAAAGGTCTCATATTTTTGTTATTGATAGTGGACGGCTGTCCTAAATATATTAAATGATTTTTATATAAATGAGAATTATAATATAACAAATTGTACTTAACATAAGGGGGTTACTTATTTGGCAGATTTGGCGATTGTTTTTAATAAGTCCAACATATTTAAAATCACTCTTTTATACATAGACTAAGCACGGTAATTGATCAAGATTACTGTGTGATATGTTCACTGAATTCATCAATTATCTTATTTTAACTCGATCGTTCGTTTATTTTATTTTAGTTCATCTAAAATGCGATACTTGCTTTTTTTTTTAATATGAACATTTATTCTTTATGTTCTATGCACTATTTAAACTGTTTTTTTAAAAATAAATATCACTTTGTAAATGTTTTAATTAGACATATTGTATTTAAATTTATTTATTTATGACACACTATCTGATTTGCATGTATTATATACTCCGAGTATACAACAGATCATTCACAATGTTGAGTTGACTGTGTTGTATAAGTTGTGTAAATTAAGTTAAACGTATGTTGTAAGGTTTCCTATTTCCGGCCAAGCTGGTTGTTGTTTGCCATGTAAAGCAACTTTGATTGACGACCGCCGTTTATCACAACTTCATAATTTAGCTGACTTTTTTCAATATTTTGAATTTGTTTTACAATTTAGGAGAACAAATCTTATTATGCATTACACATTAACTTGTTATATAATGCGTGTATTGCAAATTAAACTTTTATTCTGATCACATCCCAAATAAGAACCCAATCATCCCATTAATTAATGAGTTAATGTATTAAACCTAGTATCCGGTCCGTGTACACTCGTTCCTTTGAGGATAAGTGCGAGTGTATATGGGTGATATCTCTACTACTGAATCAAAGTTATTGATTAAGTTTGCGAAAATTAGTGACTTTCTTTTGCGCGGCATGTCTCCAAAGGTACCTCTGTTTAGCCCGTGTGAATAATGTAACCTGGTAGAGGGTCATACTACCACGGAATAAGTCCGTGGTACTACTGTGTCTAGGTATTGATATTTTTCAGTGCAATGGCACTTTGAAATAGCCCTTAAATGACCCCGCCATCTGTGGATCCCACCATCACATGATAAATTAATGTTAAGAGTACGCGATATACCCAAACAAACGAGGTAACAATTCAGTTTACACTGAACAAAATATATTTATCACAGAGTAAACATGCACTTTACAGGGTCACATCATTCAAACACAGTGTGTGGGTATATGGGTTATTGTAAGGGTTATTATTATCAGATCCATTACAATGTATTCTGGTGCCCATTGTTAACATAACATTTGTGGGATTGTCGCCGTTTTATGAAGATATTTACACAGCACACCGTAAGAACTCAGCCTTGTTGGCTATTACTTGGCTGTTATATTGTCCTGACGTACTGGACCTGCTACCTGTCACATAACAGATATATGTTTTCCGGACGTACTGAACCTGCTACCTGTCACATAACAGATATATGGTGTCCGGACGTACTGGACCTGATACCTGTCACATAACAGATATATGTTGTCCGGACGTACTGGACCTGCTACCTGTCAAATAACAGATATATGTTGTCCTGACGTACTGGACCTGATACCTGTCACATAATAGATATATGTTGTCCGGACGTACTGGACCTGCTACCTGTCACATAACAGATATATGTTGTCCGGACGTATTGAACCTGCTACCTTTCACATAACAGATAACATGTTGTCCGGACGTACTGGACCTGCTACCTGTCTTATAACAGATATATGTTGTCCGGACGTACTTGACCTGCTACCTGTCTTATAACAGATATTTGTTGTCCGGACGTACTTGAACTACTACCTGTCACATACCAGATATATGTTGTCCGTACGTACTGGACCTGCTCCCTTTTACATAACAGATAACATGTGTCCCGGCGGAACTGGCCCTGCTACCTGTCTTAGAACAGATATATGTTGCCCGGACGTACTTGACCTGCTCCCTGTCACATAACAGATATATGTTGTCCGGACGTACTCGACCTGATACCTGTCACATAACAGATATATGTTGTCCGGACGTACTTGACCTACTACCTGTCACACACCAGATATATGTTGTCCGGACGTACTGGACCTGCTACCTTTTACATAACAGATATATGTTGTCCTGACGTACTTGACCTGCTACCTGTCACACACCAGATATATGTTGTCCAGACGTACTGGACCTGCTACCTTTTACATAACAGATATAAGTTGTCCTGACGTACTTGACCTGCTACCTGTCACAGAACAGATATATGTTGTCCGGACGTAGTGGACCTGCTACCTGTCACATAACAGCTATATGTTGTCCGGACGTACTTGACCGGCTACCTGTCACATAACAGATATATGTTGTCAAGACGCACTAGACCTGCTACCTGTCACACAACAGATATATGTTGTCCGGACGTAGTGGACCTGCTACCTGTCACATAACAGCTATATGTTGTCCGGACGTACTGGACCTACTACCTGTCACACACCAGATATATGTTGTGTGACAGGTAGTAGGTCAAGTACGTCCGGATAACATATTCCTGTTATGTGACAGTTAGCAGGTCCAGTACGTCCGGACAAAATATATCTGTTATGTGACAGGTAGCCGGTCAAGTACGTCCGGACAACATATACCTGTTCTGTGACAGGTAGCAGGTCCAGTACGTCAGGACAACATATATCTGTTATGTAACAGGTAGCAGGTCCAGTACGTCCGGACAAAATATATCTGTTATGTGACAGGTAGCCGGTCAAGTACGTCCGGACAACATATATCTGGCGTGTGACAGGTAGTAGGTCAAGTACGTCCGGATAACATATTCCTGTTATGTGACAGTTAGCAGGTCCAGTACGTCCGGACAAAATATATCTGTTATGTGACAGGTAGCATGTCCAGTACGTCCGGACAACATATAGCTGTTATGTGACAGGTAGCAGGTCCACTACGTCCGGACAACATATATCTGTTCTGTGACAGGTAGCAGGTCAAGTACGTAAGGACAACATATATCTGTTATGTAAAAGGTAACAGGTCCAGTACGTCCGGACAACATACATCTGTTATGTGACAGGTAGCATGTCCAGTACGTCCGGACAACATATATCTATTATGTGACAGGTATCAGGTCCAGTACGTCCGGACAACATATATCTGTCACATAACAGATATATGTTGTCCGGACGTACTGGATCTGCTTAGGTTAGAAATGTTTCTCCGTTTAATTCTGTTCCCGATCATTGTCAGTATTTAAGCATTTTAGACATGCAATTATGTGGAAATGTACTGACAATCTACAGTATGAAATTATAACATAATTTAATTGTTTTTCGTTACACTTGTTAGAAGTTCGATTAAACATAACTACTTAATACATATTTGAAATAGGTTTTTCTTTTGCATTTGCAAGCATTCATCGCGTGATGCATTTATGTCTTCAACTCACAACAAACTGCGAGTTTTTACTATTTCTGACCCCGTGGGCAGTTGTCCTAATTTGGGTATATTTGAAACCATTTCTTTTTCATTTTCAGTCACCATTTGTTCGACAATAGACACTGACGTCATACTTTATACCTGATGTTTATTTCAATCATCTCCCGTCCACACATGATATCAGCATTTGACAGATTTACAAAAAAAAAAAATATCAAAATAAATCCAAATAACGTCGCGGTAACTAGGAAAACATTTTGATGTTGAGCTTTTCAAGTTTAAAGTAGATCTAAAAATAATGTTGTCTTTAAATGCATACAAAATCAAATGCGCGTACCTTAATTTGACAATTTTGCAATTGCAAGGGAGGTTTATGGCAGACGGTTGGTCGGTTAGAAAATTAAACATGCACGCGCATGAATTATTGTCCAATTATTCATAGTTATTAACCATTTAAAAGTATCGTTGCGTCGAAGACGTGGTAGAATGTTATATCAACAGTGAAATATTCACAAATTCGAGTTACCTCCCCGTAGTTGTTTATTTACATAAACTTGTATGAATATGAAAATGATATTTGAATATAGTGGTGACAGGTGATCTATATGCATGTTGATAGTTGTATCCCGATATTGACAAGTCTGAGAATTGTATTGTTAAATAAACACCATTCATATATATAATCAGTGTATGTAGTATAATCAGTTGCAGTAAACAACCTCAATATCAAAATAGTACCTTGGTCTCTTATGAAATCAGAAACCCTATATTAGTCTTAACCAGTCTCCCATTTATTTCTAATGAAATCAAAAACCTTATATTAGTCTTAACCAGTCTACCATTGGTCTATAATGGAATCAGAAACCCTTTTTTAGTCTTAACCAGTCGCCCATTGGTCTCCAATGAAATCAGAAACCCCATATTAGTCTTAACTTGTCTCCCATTTATTTTTAATGAAATCAGAAACCTTATATTAGTCTTAACCAGACTCCCATTTATTTCTAATGAAATCAGAAACCTTATATTAGTGTTAACCAGTCTACCATTGGTCTCTAATGAAATCAAAAACCTTATATTAGTCTTAACCAGTCTCCCATTTATTTCTAATGAAATCAGAAACCTTATATTAGTCTTAACCAGTCTCCCATTGGTCTCTAATGAAATCAGAAACCCTATATTAGTCTTAACCTGTCTCCCATTTATTTCTAATGAAATCAGAAACCTTATTTTAGTCTTAACCAGACTCCCATTTATTTCTAATGAAATCAGAAACCTTATATTAGTGTTAACCAGTCTACCATTGGTCTCTAATGAAATCAAAAACCTTATATTAGTCTTAACCAGTCTCCCATTGGTCTCTAATGAAATCGGAAACCCTATATTAGTCTTAACCTGTCTCCCATTTATTTCTAATGAAATCAGAAACCTTATATTAGTCTTAACCAGTCTCCCATTGGTCTATAATGAAATCAGAAACCCTATATTAGTCTTAACCTGTCTCCCATTTATTTCTAATGAAATCAGAAACCTTATTTTAGTCTTAACCAGACTCTCATTTATTTCTAATGAAATCAGAAACCTTATATTAGTCTTAACCAGTCTCCCATTGGTCTCTAATGAAATCAGAAACCTTGTATTGGTCTTAACCAGTCTCCCATTGGTCTCTAATGAAATCAGAAATCTTATATTGGTCTTAACAAGTTGTAATCAAGAGCGAAAAATTCAAGCTCGACCTCGGGTCTTTAAATGCAATTTGAAAATTAACCAACTCGAGTTATCAAACAAACACTCGTTGTGGACCTCTTTGTGCCCGCATTGATATTGCCATAGAAACGGTTTTATTTAGTCATGAGAGAAAGTGATATAACATGAACAATGAGATAAGGAAAAATCTC